ATGTTTGCCAATAAGAAAGTAAGCTATAGCTTAACCTTCATTTAGTAGTGGAAAGAAATACGGTGTTATGATAAATAATTAAAAAAAGTAAAGTGAATCTGAAAGCTTGAAAATCTCTGAAGCTCTATCAGCAAAGATCTTTGAAATCCTTGACTAAGCTTTTTTTATGCATGTAGACAGTGGGCAGTGGTTTTCATGCATCTAAGCCACTTAAGCTTATATGCCAATCAGTGAATCCACAACATTTCTGCAAATCCAAATTTCCGGTTAGACCACTTTGTATTATAATACCCTTGCAGGTATACAAGTAAATATTTAAAACATAAATTAACAAGTAACACCAGTACATTTTGAACAGGTTGATTTCATGTTAAAAGTTTAATGTCCATTAAAAAGGACTGATGTCTCAAAAACAATATTTTGCATGAACTATTTAACAATATTTTTTTTATACGATTTTAGGACAGATCGGTATCAGTATATTAATGCATTCGACCAACCACATAAAAGCAACAAAAAGCATTTACTCATCGACCAGATGAGGACTACTTCTGAAATTCAAAAAGTGTTTCTGTTTAGTGGAAGAAATGGAATTTAACTGTCTATTCTTACTATTCTTAAATATGGCCATATGCTAGCTTCTCTTTGTTTATACAGAATGGCTAAAAAAAAAAAGAAAATTTCCAAAGACAGACTATTTCATTTACAAAACATATCTTGATGTCTGAGTTAATGGACAGGCTTGTTCCACATGAGAATAATTTCTCCTTTTGCAATAAGGCAATTTACATCACATTTGCCATTTTTTTCCTTGTCATTTAATAACAATTGTATCTCATGCCTTTTCACTTTGTCTCAGGCATTTATTGGACCTCTCAAACCTTGCATGCAAGACCAGCCTGATTCATAATAAGTGAGGCCAGCTACTGCGAACTACCGCTTCATGAAATATACATTATTACAAATAGCTTTGCAAATGGCTTTGCGGAAAGCTCCGTAAACAGCAGTCTTGAAGAGTTAGCCATCATTACTGCTTAATGTAATCTTTAAGCCCTCATCTAAAAGTCTGTTCTATTTGCAAAAATAACACGTGGAATACATAAATGCCAACAAACCTGATTTGTTTGAGTGATTCTCAGAGCAATTGAAGCTCTTATAAAAAAAAAGTTGAACAGTTGTCATTTATTTCTATAAAGGAAAATACATTTAAACAGTTCATTAAGCTATTAAAGTAAAATATTTTTCTACTGTAAATTCACAGTTTAGCTTTAACATGAAACCAAAAACCTTTGCAGTCCAAGTTATGTCTATTCCATCAAAGCAGAAACAGATTTGCACATCAAAGAATAAATCGGATCGAGAGAAAGACCAAATGTAGACATCACTCACTCCCCTGAGAGAGACACGTCGCAACCTACACAGATAAAGAGACAACTGCCAGTAATGTACCAGTCTTGTTTCCTCTTCACAGTGCACTTTGTTTCGTTTGTGTTTACCAGAGGCTTACATTTCCTGACACAGTGGGTGTTGCTCAGTGGTGCACTGAACCCTCAGGTAAAAAGAAAAGTCATGCACAAAGCCATTGTGTTAATGTATCTTAATTCTTGACTTTCGTCCTGTTAGTATGCATGTTTACATGTATTTCTACTCGTGAATTCAGGCAAACACAAAAGGCGACAATTTTTAAAAAAGGCCAGTCAAAGTCACACTGCAGGGAGACTTTGTAAAGAGCGGAAAGTCCAGTGTGAATGATTAAGAAGCTTCAGATAGAAAAGGGTAGGGGCAATATTGGAATGTAAAAATGTGCAAGAAGATGGCTTCAATGTAGAAAATAAAATCCTCAAATTTGAAGAGAAAAGAGTCAGATTTAAACATTTTTAGATTTTTCGTCTATCTTGCGCCAATTACTGTAGAAGGATTTCCACAGAAATCCAGCTTCTCGCTCACCAGAAGCATGCAAAAAGTATTTGTACATGCAAAAAAACTTTCAAAACACACCCACACACACTTGAGTCCTGTAGAAATAAGGATAATGGCAGAGGTAAACAACACATACTGTAGCTTGCATTCTCATTCAGGGTTTTTTTCTCATCTGCAGACACTTGGGATACAAGTGTGTCTTAGTATGTGGGCTCATCTCTGATCTGCTATAGTCAGCCCCTCTGGCAATTTTTTTTTTTTATTCTACCTGACTGCATGCTTTCAGTATCACAGCTTTTGCCCGGGCGTCTGAGTGGTCCGAGCTGATGTGCTTATAAGCGGTGTCTCGATGTCTGAGTGCTTAGGATTTCCTCTTTTTATTTTTTGCTTGTGTGCATGTTATTCCCTGACTGAAAGACACTGAAGTGATGATACTGTAGCTGAAATGTGTGTTAAAGCACTCTGAAGACTCATTAAATCTAATTTCTTGAAGCGGAGGCTATGTCAGTTGTGACTGTTGCAGCTGAAGCAACATAAGAAACAGAAACCAAAAATCGGGTGTTGTTAACTCACGTCGTTTTAAATAGTTTAATGTGGTAACGCCTTCTTTAACAGATTTAGCAGGTGTTTGTTTGATCTGTATTCAAGCAGCAATTTAGGATATTAAAAATCAAATGTTAAATCAAGATGTGTTCACTATTTAGCATTACAGGAATCTTAAATCTCGTAATTTGTCAGTGGGCCAATATATAGGGCTACAGGTCACTGTGGTTCTTGGTGACATGGTGTGTACCACACTAAACATGGACCAGAGGAAGCGAAGGAAAGAGTCTTTTCACAAGATTAGAAAGAAAATTATAGCCCAGCATGTTAAAGGTGTAAGATATTCACCAATCAGTTTGATGTTCTTGTGATTATAGTTGCCCATATCATTCAGATATTTAAATTAATATCCATAGGATTGTAGCCTACCTCCCTGGATGTCGCCGCAGAAGGAAAATTAATGACAAATCAAAAAGACATATAATATAAATGATAACAAAAGATCCCAGACAAACTTTCAGCATGATTCCAGTTGAACTTGGAGGAACATCAGTGTCAGATCAGTATCCGTCATTGTTGGAGCCAAAGTGGATTTAATGGTTGATGACCAAGGAGGGCAATATTGTCAAAGACAAAATCATAGAAAAGCCATTTGCCAGACTACATGCTGACAAGCCACAAACCTTCTGGGACAATGTCCCATTGTCAGATAAAACAAAAATTAACACTGTCCCTTCTCTGACATATTAACAAACACATTTTTTTCCATGACAATGTATATAGATATATATATATATTGATGAGTTTCTTCAATGAAGGAGGTCATAATGACTTACTTAGTCTGTAGAAAAAAGCTGTTTAGATTAAATATATATTTCCCATAACAAAAATTAACAAAATTACAAAAGAATATCCTGTAAAAAGCTTTATTTGAGCAGGTGAGTAAAATTATCTGCCAACAGCGTCAGTATGCTGGTCCCTGCAATAAGATAAGCGGCTGCTGTGCCACTGAGCCGGGGATGGAGCAACCGAACCCGAGACGGTATGCTTCCCAGGCTGGCTGCCTCCCCCGGTCCGCTGGAGTTCCCGGACCAGCTCCTGAGCTGACGGCTCGGTTCTGCTGCAATGTAGCCGACCAAAATCCCAGACGATTTTGAAAATCCCCCCGGACATTTTTTTAGGTGTGAAAAGTAGAACATGCCTGGGAAAAGAGGACGTCTTGTCACCGTAATGTGATGAAACTTTCCCATCGTATTTTATTATGTTGACAATTAAAGCATTTCTCATTTTGCCTCATATCAAGGCATAGAAACATTTAGTTTTTTTCCCTTTTCAACATGTTTACATCATCTATGTCAAATTAATGACCTTGAGCAGCTTGCTGCCAATTGGTTGATTTGCTGATCATGTGGAAGTTGAAAGCCAGTGCACTTAGAATTAATGGACTCTAACATACGATTAAAGGACCAAGGACACATGTGAGCCCATGTGTGAAGATACCAGGGAATGTAAATGGAGCTCAATGGAAGCTGTAGACCTTACAGACCTAATTATATGAACTGATGGCGGTAATCAGTCAGTGCTTATGCACCGTGATACTCGAAAGAACCTACAGACCTGATCAAGCAGAATCTAAACTGAAGAGGTCACACCAACTGGTCATGTTCCAGTGCATCATGGAATCACCTCTAAACCCAGTTCTGTCTTTCAGTAAGTGACTGGTTAAGAGAAATTAGAGGACCCGCAGCAAACACAGCCAGAGTTCAAGACCAATTACAGTAAGCACCTTTCCAGTTAAATAAAAAGCAAAAGCATTTTAACAAAGCACAAAGGCTTAAAAGCTTAAAGCACATTTCACAAAAACAGTGCAAATATATAACAGCAGGAGATTTTAGTAAGGATAAAAAATACATGTACTGTACAAACATATGCACAACAAGGACTGCATTATTGTCACCTACAAGGATTACATCAAAAAGTTATTTTGGCTTCAAACATTTATTCATTTGTTTTCAATAGATGTTGTAATCTATTTAAACTTAGAGGAAAGCCTATCATCTATGCAGTCAGCTGTTAATAGACTATAGCGAGGACCTCTTATGTTCAGGGGAAAAACTAAAACTAAAGATATTGAGAGATAGACCCAAAAGGAGCCCGTCTTAAATCTGCGAAGCCTGGATGATTGTGGGTGCTTAGTAGACAATGAATCCATTAAGTACATGAGTACTGAGCTTTTATTTTTTGTTCGGGAGTGGTGGCCTAGTTGTTAGGGCATTGGTCTTGGCTCCCAGAGGTTCTGAGTTCAAGCCCCATTCCTGCAGACTGCAACTCAAATTAAGCTATATTAAAACCCAGATTTTCAAAATTGTGATTATTTTCAGAAGATAAATATTCTATTTCACCTGAGGATCTGAATTGCAATGAACCAGAACAGACCTACCTGTGGAGTTGTCCCTTAAAAGCAGTAGGTACCCTTTGTGCAGGACTGTTTGGAAAAATGCCTTGGATCATAGCAGAACTCGAGTACTAGGTCTTACCTGTGCATTTTTTTAGCACACCGGGCCGTTTGCCGTGCATCCCAAGCCTACAGTTGAAGTTCTCTTCCCAGAATTCAGCAAACCAGACATTTCTTCTGTTGTTAGACAGGGAGCGGCTGCGGAAATACCGGTCAAATGCTGCAAGAGAAAACAGACCACATAGGTTTAAGGAACAGAGACAGAATCATCATCACTGATGAAAAGCAGAGGCTTAGAATCAGAATTCGATGGGCTTCTGGTGTGTCAGAATTCAGAGCTTATGCTTAGCTCACCAGCATTGATAATAATGGGTATTCTTAGCAGTATAACACATTTTGACACAAAGGAAATGAAAAATGAATAACCCCTGCTCTGTGGAAATCAAAATACCATTTCAGGAATAGGCATCTCTTGGAGGGGAGCAAGAAGAATATGCTTCTTTAATGAAGCTTTCAAAAAAGTTTACCTACTTGTCCAGCTTGAAGAAAAATCCAGATGAAGGCAAAGAATAAAAGTTTTCTTAACTCAAATGAATGAAAACACCTGCTTGCTGATGGCAGGGTAGGATAATTAGAGGACTTTAAAAAAGGATTTTTATTAAAGTAGACTTAAGATGAAGACACCATGCTCTGAAGTGAAACTGCAACACACCTCATGTTGCACCATCCAATGCAGAATATGGAACTGATTGACTCAGACACTGTTGGGAGTGACTCAGTGCACAAGCTGAGGCGCTACCTTGATTGATCTCGTCTACTGCCACAGATGTAGATTTTGTGTGTACCTGTGCAACCTTACTGATAGATGGACTGCTGGGAACAGTGAGTTTACCCCACATGCTACTCGACGGGAGGCACATGACATGTGGGATCACCCACCTCCTACTGTGATAGCAGATGTGTACAAAAACAGTAACCTAAGCATCTCTTTTTCTGTGTTATAGGGAAAAAATCCCCACACTGTGGTTTGCTGCCATATGGGGGATTTTGTCTTTAATAAAGAGTAGATCTGTTTTGATAAAACTTGTTCCTTTTCATTTTTCTATTAGTCTTTTTTCAATTGAAAATCTTTAGTGAGAGCTGGGAGAGAAAATTTACTGAAGAAGAAATAAAACACCAGTTAAAAACGGAATCAAATTAGTTCAGGTGGCTGTATTGTTGTAGTGCCCCTTTCAAATGTGATCCATAGCATTTACTTTAGACTATTCTCACACCAATTTACTGTCCCCTGATCTTCAAAACCTTTGGCATAACACTGGATTCCGGCAAATTAGAGTAAAAAATGAAAATAATCACAGAAGGATAAATACCTAAAATCTACCTCATCCTTTTGGATTTCATGGCATCTGTATTATAACATTACCATCCAGGGTGTGATATCTTCACTTTGTACGATTTACCTATAAGTATGCAAGAGTGTATCAGTATCGTTATGGTAACCAGCTTATTCACAGCATAAAAAGCATGCACCAGGCCATTATATACTGCTTCGTTCTATACATTAGGGCGTTGCAATATTAAGAAACCATGCAACACCCAATCATATTGTTAATGTTACAATAATGATACGGCTTGCAATAAGTCCTTCATAATCTAAAATCGGTTAGATCCTTTCTACTTTGTGTTGGCTGCAAACATAGACCCCGGAAAATAAGTGTTATTTCCAGCTACTTGAGATTAAAATGTAAATCATTGCTACTTTTTTCCAACAATGGGGCTTTTTGGAAAATGTTTAATCTTGGTACAGCTGCTGCTTTCACGATAAAACAATTATTTATGGTGTCTTAACGAACTGGAATTGGAAAACATAAGCACCCAGTACCATATAGTTGGCAAACATTTACTGTAATCTGGGTGATTATTTATAATATTCATTCTGTAGAGAAGAATAGTAAGATGGAAATTGTGCAGCCCCAGTGTATACCTATACAAGTATATTAAGAAGCTCCTACATACTGTATCCAAGTTCTACTGATACAATTGAGCTGCCCTTAATAAGGGTGCATAATCTCTGTTCTGCTTGTTGTTGTCCTCCTTGTTCTCCACATAATATTCAATATCAGCGATTCTCTTCAATAAAAAAAGGCAAATGCATTTTTTTTTTATGGGAACTCTAAAGCTTGTGTTTTCTATCAACTTCAAATAACCTGCATATGTGTCATTTGGTGATACAGAGTTTCACTCTACCTATTTGAGGTAAAGTGCTGTAAGTACTGACCTCTTTCTTATCCTCATTTTTCCTTTTTCCCCTCTATAGCAGGTGAGATAGTAGCAGGACCCAATGTGCATGGCTGAATTGGGCAAAAAATTCATTTGTTTTTTTTTTTATGCACTATAGACTGTCCACATGCGAACTGATGTTATTGCTGTGGAGCCAAGCTCTAGTTTGATGTTAAGCAGCCACAGTTAAAGGAAACATTCAGCTCCAGACTTTATTCCAAATGTGTTGCTACATTAAAACAAGAAACACAAATAATAATTAAAAAATATTTTTGATGTTTTTATCTGCCAGTTAAAAACTTTCAGGCAATACTGTTAAAAACTATAAGTATAAAATACAGCTGGTGCAGGCAGAGGTTGACGTCATAATAAAGTACAGACTGAATAAAGTTTAAAACTCAACTGCTTCTATTAGATAACATCCAGAAATGGCTCTTTGGATCAAACTAAAACCAACTCTTTTCAGTAACATTTTATAAATAAATAAAGTTAAACTCAAGCAAGTGATGTACTGCACTCATTTAGTGTCAAAAATAAGAATTCACTGTGCTGTATTCCCCAATGCACCGCACTATTAAATACCAAGCTGTTTAACATCATGGAAAGTGACCGTAAATCTTTATTTTAGGAGAAAACACAGTGCATAACAAAAATGTATTCTTTTATATACAATTTACAGCCCACTATTTTATCTGCTGCCATGATTCCTTAATAAAGATGCTTGGGTAGAAGGCAAATACATTTTTGTCTATAAAGTGTAGCATACTAAGTGTTTCCCTGTTCCTAGAGGGATGATAGATGAAGTAACCTTTAAAAACAAAAGGTCTTAAGCAATTTCTTAAACTTAAAGTAGAATGTTGGACAATATTAATGCAAAAAATGTAAAAAAAAAAATAAAAAAAAAAGGCCAAAATATAGCAGAATAAAGACATTTACCGCCTAAAGTTGCAAACAGTGAATATTAAAATCTTTCCACCATGTACTTTTTTGAATGCTGTTTATATATCTATTTTTTAAAATAATTATTTAAAAGTTTTAAATGTCAGGATTGATTAACAGTGACTCTTTGTTTCATTGCAGCGATTTGCTAAAATCAAAATTATTTTATTTGTCAAAAAGAAGAAACAAAATATAAAATGGTGATAAGTATTCAGACCTTTTTGCTGTGACACCCATATTTAACTCACATGCTGTCCATTTCTTCTGATCCTCTTTGAGATGGTTCTACTCCTTCATTGGAATCCAGCTGTGTTTAATTAAACTGATTGGAATTGATTAGGAAAGGCACACACCGGTCTATATAAGACCTCACAGTGGTCGAGGTCATGAGGTCGAGGTAACTGCCCAAGGAGCTCAGAGACAGAATTGTGGCAAGGCACAGATCTGGCCAAGGTTACAAAAGAATTTCTGCTGCATTCATGGTTCCTAAAAGCAAGGTGGCCTCCAGAGATGCAGTAGCAAGATGGGAGAAGGTTCCACAAAGTCAACTATCACTGAAGCCCTTCGCCAGTATGAGCTATATGGCAGAGAGGCACGACGGAAGACTCTCCTCAATGCAAGACATTAAAACCTGCATAGAGTTTGCCGAAAAACACATGAAGGACTCCCAGATATGAGAAAGACGATTCTCTGGTCTGATGAGACCAAGATTAAACTTTATGGCGTTAATTCTGTGGTATGTGGGGAGAAAACTAGGCACTGCTCATCACCTGTCCAATACAACCCCAACAGTGAAATACGGTGGTAGTAGCATTATGCTGTGGGGTTGTTTTTCTGCTGCAGGGACAGGACAACGGGTTGCAATTGAAAGAAAGATGAATGCGGCCATGTACAGAAATATTCTGGAAGAAAACCTCTTCCAGAGTGGTCAAGACCTCAGACTGGGCAGAAGCATCATCTTCCAACAAGACAATGACCCTAAGCATGCAGCTAAAATAACAAAGGAGTGGCTTTGGAACAACTCTGTGACCATTCCTGACTGGCCCAGCCAGAGCCCTGACTTAAACCCAATTGAGCATCTCTGGAGAGACCTGAAAATGGCTTCCACCAATGCTCACCATTCAACTTGACAGAACTGGAGAAGATCTGCAAGGAAGAATGGCAGAGGATCCATAAATCCAGGTGTGAAAACTTTGTTGCATCATTCCCAAGAAGAATCATGGCTCTATTAGCTCAAAGGGTGCTTCCACTCAATACTGAGCAAAGGGTCTGTGTACTTAAGACTATCTGATATTCCATTTTTTCTTTTTTAATAATTCTTTTCTGTCAGGATGGGGTGCTGAGTGTGCATTGATGAGAGATAAAATGAACTTTATTGATTATATCAAATGGCTGCAATGAAACAAAGAGTGAAAATTTTAAGGAGTCTAAACACTTTCCTTTCCCACTGTACAAATTATTGGCAATCATAAAAACGTTCTAAATCTTTTTTTTTATTTTTTTATTTTTTATCAATCTTACCATCCACAGATGCTCGTTTTGGGAGAATAGTGATTGCTCCCTCTGCCACTCTCTCTTGGCCAATCACAGGAGAGATCTTGGACCCCCAGCTGTCTGATCCAACCCAAAGGAAATGGCCAGTTTGGTTGTTTCTTTTAGCTGCATCAAGAACTCGCCTGTTAAAAAGAGAAGCTGAGAATTAAAACTATAACAGGAACTCCAGGACTAACAATTGACTGTGTCATGAGAAGGAAAACGAATGTCTCCCTTTTTAAGGTATGCGACAGGGTTAATAAAGCAAGGTTAGAAACTCAAAACAACACCTTACCCCAATTCAGTAAGTTTTTGTTCATTCTTTTCCGTAAAAAGGCATGTTTAACTTATTGAACCTCAATGCTAATGACACAACACTGTTACACACCGTTTATTGCCATACAGGACCAAGTCTAAGTAACTACTTTATATAAAAGATATAAACTTAAACTTTTCATATAATGCCATGTTAAAGCTATAAACTTTATTTTACTTTTCATGTACAAATTAAATCTGAGAAATGTGTTTGTGACTGTGTATTCAGCACAACCCTTTATAGAACCACATTTGTCTGCCGTTACAGCTTCAAGTTATTTGGGAGTGTGTTTCAACTTTGAAAATTCAGACACTTAAATTGTTGCCTTTTGGAAATAAAGCCTAAACCCAGCGAGAAGGATGGAGAGCTTTTGTGCTAAAGAATGTTATTCAACCTCAGGTCTGGAGCTTGAAATTTGTATTTTAACACATGGCAGCATAGAGTTTTCAGAAGAAAGGAATCCACATTTTATAATGTTGCCATAACTATGTGTTTCAGAGATGATGGCGTGCTAGTTTTACTTTGAGTACAAAGTACCAATCTGACCCGAGATCAGTGGAGCAGTGGTTAGCACTGCAGCCTTGCAGCAAGACGGTCCCGGGTTCGATTTCTGGCCCAGGGTCTTTCATGTTCTCCCTGAGCATGCGTGGGTTCTTTCAGGGTACTCTGGCTTCCTCCCACAGTCCAAAGTTAATTGGTTACTCTAAATTTTCCTTGTGTGGTGAGTGTGTGCATGAATGTTTGTTTGTCCTGGTTGTCTCTGTGTTGCCCTACGATGGAGGTGTACCCCGCCTCTCGCCCGTAGACAGTTGGAGATAGGCACCAGCACCCCTTGCAACCCCAGCAGTGTATGGTGTGATCGAAAATCGATGGATGGATGGGCTCCATGTGCCCGTTACATTGCTTGTGGCAAACTGCCAAAATACTTTAATATTGCCAATTTCTAATTCGCAACTTTTCCCAAAATGGAGATACTTGCAAAATGAGCCCCTATTAATTTCCCTGATAACCGATACTCTCATTTGAGCTGTGGATCTCTGCTGCTCCTCCAGATAAACAATGGACTTTATGGCTTATTCTTTAATTCCTGATCAGAGTGGGTCAAGGATTTTATTTATTTATTTATATGATAAACTGCTCAGAGATGTTTAAAATTTGGAATATTATTAATTTCATAATCTACCCCTGGCTTTACCTCCTCTGACCTGTATCCTTCACCTGTCTAGTTTGATTAATAATCTTAAGTTGCTGTGTGTTCACTAAGTTTCTCCAAGAAACCTCTGAGGCCTTTATAGAAAAGCTGCATTTATACAGAGATCAATATACAGCCCCACAGTCACATATGCTGAAAAGAGTAAGGCCAGTTGTTTCTACCTTATATGTGGGTAGGTAAGAGAAGAAAAGCATGCACTTCACACCTTACACTGTTTAATTGTGAAATTAATTTCTTTTACATATACTTCTTTTCTCTCTATTACCTACAGTATCATGACCTAATTTTCTTTAGTCACATAAAACTATCTAGAAGTTTGTGATTATAAGGTGATGAACTGTTCAACAGGTATTTTTGCCAGGCCCTATAATTAAGTGGATGGAAATTATGCAGTACAACCAGAAATGAACAACACTAACCGTATGTCATCCTCATTGGCAAACATGATGATGGCCCTGGCATTGGATGTTTCCAGGAGGCGCCTGATGATCTTGTCAAACTCCCCCTGCCTTGGCTCTCTGGGAATCTTTAAAGACTGGGCAATACACACACCACCTGCGGCAGAAAAAGAAAGACAAAATCCTCTTTTTACTTCAGGCTCACCAACTCTGACTCTTTAGTTTGTGTTTTTTCCTGCCTCAGCTGTTCTGTCTTTATGCAGCATGAATTGTTTTATCTATAGACTAGGCTAAAAGCCTTTAGAGTTAAAATCTCTAATGAAGCTCATAACAAGAAAGGAGCAGCAGAAAGTAGACAAGGCAATAAAGTTTAAGAGGCATAGGTATAGTGGTAGAAATCCATAAGCTGGTGTGAAAATTTGGCAGGGGGTGGAGGTGGTAAAAAAGCCAATAAACTCTGTTAAGAGAGGAAAAAAACAAAACAAATGCATGTTGTACAGTATGCAACAAGGGGGAACAAAATTATTCCAAAGAGGGGAAAGATGCATGAGACCAAATTGTGCATTCAGCGTAGCAAATGAGTTTGAAAAAAAAAACTAAATCTGTCAATTAAAAATACTTCTCATTTTGTTTACTTTTTGTCAGCATAATCATATAATTTAAAATGCAGTGTTTATTATTTAGCCAGTTAATTTTAAGGTTCTTTTGCCTTAGTTTCAGCCTCACACATACATGCACAACCATATCTGTTTCACACTAATCCAGACTTTATATTAATGCTCCAAACTGGTAATTGGCTTTGCTGAATTATATTGTTAGCTTCAATCAAAGGAAGGAGAAGGGATTGATTTCTAACAGGAAAATTGTTTTGGTCTATTGACAGAAGAAAAAGAATCATGTCTTTGAGCATCTATCTTCTCTTTCATTTTTGTCTTCTTTCATCCCAGTATGAGTGTAGAAAGTGGGAGTGAATGATATCTCCCTGCCTGTTCCAGCCCATTTATTGAACATCTGTACAGTCTGTCGCTTTCACTTTATCGTAATCCTTAATCAACATACAGTCACATTGATACCCAGGCAGGCGCACACAACAGAGTGCATGACTGCTAAAACAAATTCTCATTAGCTTCGAATTAAACTCCTCTCAAGGCTAATTACTAAAGTGACAAAAGCTGCACAGACGCCCCATCATCCAACCCCCTCCCACAAACACGCAACATGCGACAACTAGGAATGCTTCCTCAAGTATCAAATAACAATTTTAAAATTGCAAATCACTGTAATTTAGAACCCACATCTGCTTTTCAGTGCGAATGCAGCTCAGGGAAGAAAACCAGACTTTTTAAAATCAATATTTTTTTATATATACGTCTCATCAGGGAGAGGACAAATAGATCAGGGTCATTGTGTTACAGTACAAGTTGGTTGTCGGTTTAAGCTCAACTCTGTCAATCTCTGTTTTTGTGTCCTTGAGCATTTCACTTGCTTAGCCTGCTGTTGCTGGTCAGAAGGCCAATTGGCACCCATTGTATGGCACAATAAGTGTGTAAATATGTGTATGAATGGGTGGATGGCTGATTGTAGTGTAAAGCTCTTTGGGTTTCTTAGACTTTATAAGGCATCATACAAGTACAGGCCATTTTTAATATTTTCCATCATAAACTTGGTCCATTTCCAGTTGAAGATTACTCATAATATGGGAAGATGTATAAATTGAACTTGTTGGAATATTTTTTCTATCGACCTGTTCTGAGGTCTAAAGACTGGAAGCTTGGGTAAGGCCTCCCTGGTGAGGTGTTCTGTGCATGTCCCACTGGTAGGATTATGTATCTCGGCTGGCCTGGGAACACCTTGGGATTCCCTAGTGGATTTGGCCCAAGTGGCCAGGGAGAGGGACGTCTGGCGGAAGGAAGGAAGGAAGGAAGGAAGGAAGGAAGGAAGGAAGGAAGGAAGGAAGGAAGGAAGGAAGGAAGGAAGGAAGGAAAGGATGATATCCATTTCCCTCTTGTTCCCTGTAGCTTCTTCTGTCCTTTTTGTGAATGCAGCTTAAATTTTCACATCTTTGTGACTTCCATAACCTATCCAAGTGCAGCTTAAAGCTAATGTGAACCATCAACTTTTTCATTAATCACAACGCAACCAGACCAACCAATTTCATATTCACAAAAAAATTCCAGAAATACAACCACTTGTATTAAAACGTGTAACTGTACTGCCAACAGACATGGGCCAATGGCCATGATGAAGATATTTGAAGCTTTTATTAAAGGAGTTGTTTTACTTTTTTTCTATGAACTGTACAAAAAGGATATATTAAGATAGTAATTGCGTGAAAACCTTGATCAAATCCACATCCAATCCACTCTTAAAGTAGACAGAGCACAACAATGTCAGAGTATCATGGTTCTGAATGACCTTTAAATGTTTGGAGTGATTTTGTGTTGGTGTGTAGGTGCATAGGTCTGTGTATTGCATGTGTTTGATGTGTTTGTGCTTATGGGAATACAAGTTTGTTACCTCGAGTTGTGCGTTTGAGAATTTGATGAAATTTTTAGAAGGGCTGCCATCCTCTGCACCATAGAGGGGCAGCTATGTACTTCAGTTGGGGAATACAGCATAGCACATTCTTATTTCTTGCAAAGGGCAAGACCCCCTGGCCCCAGAAAGTTTAAGCAAGCTCAGGAAGCCAGAGATAAAGTATTTCCCCAGGAAATCCATATGCTCCATACAGAGCTAGGATGCTAGTCAGCAGAGGAGCAGCAGCCCAAGGTAAGAGGCAGGATGCCACCCGCAGACACACTGACTCTGCCAACAAACCGATTTCTGAGACAGCCAGACACCAAGAAAGGGAAGCCCCCTTTAGAGGCTCACCATGGCTATCGGAACATAAAAGGATCAAAGTAGAGTTAGGTTTTAGAATCCACAAGATATTATTCTCCTGTTTATTTATTCATTTTATGGTTTGAATTTGTTTCACTGAGATACCCGAGTGAGAGACAAACTAAAGCTTAAGATTTGGAATTGCAGTAGGTATAAATTCTTGAATTGTGGGAGAGGGCTATTGATTATTCATTGGGAATCTCATACCACTCTATGCTTAACAACCAAAATATAAATTAATGATGGATTTGATCTTATTTTAAAAAGAAATCAAGAATTCAAGAATAATATCAAGTCAAGTCAAGTCAGCTTTTATTGTTACTTTCTAATATAGTATTTTTAGCGTAAGCAATATAAAAAAATAATATCAGGTTTAAATAATCTATTATTTTTTCCCCAGTATCCAAAAGATACATAATATTACCAATCAAAGTCTCTCACACAGGGCCAGTTCTGGCTTTCAAGTACCTGCCACCGTCACTAAAAGCAAAAAAACTCATTAAAGAAATATAGAAGGGAAGCTTCTTAAAGCCTCAATTTCACTTCATATCTCATCAGTTTCACTAATAAAAAATAAAATGCAACACTAATTCAAATTAAAAGATGGATTAAAAAACAATCAATTAAAAAATAGAATTTCCATGGCAATGCTTTTTCTTGTATAGGGGATTACGGTGTGCAAAAAGAGATATATGTCTTTAACTTTCAATATTAATGTTTGTACAGCCATGCTATAAAAATATCAACCTTGCATAAAAAGCCTAATGCGAGTCCTTTTTCCCAAGCTGAACTCATTCTCAAATGAAGAACGCTGGCTGAGGGCAATAAATATACAAATTAAGCCAGGAGTAAACATACTATTTGTCAGCTGGAATGTAACCAATAACCCACGTCATCGGATTAAATCTGAATCAGTCATATTTGGAGCAATCAATTAGAAACACAGGCTGAATTGATTTTTACTTTTATCCTGAAGCAGTTGTCAACTCAATAAATGAAGGCCCATGCTGTGGCTGATTGTACATAAATTGAATCATTTATCATCATTTGATGGCATAATATCACACGCTGGGCACACTAATGGGAGTTTATTCAAAAATCACTCTTTATTTACATCAGATGAAGCAGTTATTGGTTTGCAAGATAAGTCAACCTTTGCCAAAAGTCACCATTTGCAATATAATATAGCTTAAAGGGTAAAATTTGAATTTTACTTTTTTCACCAAAGGTACAAGCTGCCAAACAGTCATAAACGTCGTGGTCAGCTAGGGTCAAGCTGCTTACCTGATGGCCCCAGGAGAAACAATTAGTACAAGCCATGTTAGGAAGAAAAAAAAAATAAATTCTACATATATCTAGAAAAACCTCAGTAGTTTGCAATTTATGTTAATAGAGTCAACATTTTAAGCACATTTGTTAATATTTCTAGCTTGTGACTAACGTGGTAAAACATTTAATTCACATTTTTAGCAGAGAGTAAATTCAAGCCACTTATTCTGCGGCTGTTTTTAATTGCAATTCCAAGTTTGACCCATGCAGTGTAATTTAGAATAAGAAATAAGCAAGAAGAACGAACGGCAAGTGCTACAAAGCTGCCCTACTGAAAACTGGAAGGGAAATTAAACAATTTTGAAAATATATTATAAATAAAAAAATCCAATAAATGTGGTGTGGATTTTCATATAGCCCACCTCACTCAGATACTTCTACAGTATATAAAAATCTATAGTCCCCCAAAATATCTACAAAATTGACTATTGAGTGGTTCAAATGGAGGGTAGCCTTCATTGGATGTGGATCTGAAATTAAACTCTGCTTAGGATCTCATACTGTATATCCTTGGGTCGGCTGTAAGTTCTAACAAATGATTCCAGAGACTTTTTCTACAGTAGACCCCCTTTGAACAAAACATTTGCAGCCAAAGATGTGAAAATAAATGTTGAGTGTGTTCAATACCTGCCCACATTAAAGTTTTACAGTTGGCAATTAAAGGCATTCTGTTGTCGGATTGAATGCTTTCTCTTGGAGGATGTGAAACACTGCTGTCTCAGACTTTAATTAATCTGCTTCCCTCCTACGCGCTTCTCTAGCAGCAACATTCCATCAATAACCCAACGGACAAACGCAAAGGAAAAAGGGAGGAAGGATTTGTTTTCTCATCGCCAGTGTGCTTCTGCCATTTGATTCTCACTCTTGGTTCATCAAGTTTCTTAGAATCTTTGTGGAATGTAAATAAAGAAGTTACTAAGAAAGCAAACACCTCTACTCAATCT